TCTTTCAACAATAAAATACGTTTTTAGATTACCTGTTACTAAAACAGAAAATATCAGATCTATCCCGCCAGCAACCCTTTACAATGTACAAGCCATATCGCAACTTTAAGCTGAAGTGGCGATGAATGAAACAATGTAGAGTTTACAACTGTGTACAGAGTGGAGACGTCCGTAAAACGTATACGGCTTCAGAGCACTCGGGTTACGAGCGCTGCGACACGGACTTGCCAGTTATATTTTACTATGTTTGTACTACATCTTTGTAAAGTTAACTATCGGCACGCGAAATTTTTGTTCGATCGTCGACATGTATGTAAGATTTAGAGTGAATATATAGAAAAATAGAAAAAAAAACAAATTAACAGCGGGAAGCCACAATGCCTATTATTCGCGAAAAAATAAAGGCGTGGAAAAAAATCAAATAAAACCATTAAAAACAATTGCAAAAAAGGTGCATGGACCTTCAGTCTATATAGAAATAAGGGCGTAACTGTTTAAGAAAAAAAAATAGTTAATATATCCCAGGACAATTCAGTTCAATTCACACAGCGCCATCTAGTCCCAATTTAAAGTTATGTTATGGGTACTAGAGTACTGATATACTTAAAATTTTTAGTGGAATACATCCAAATGAGTGGAAGAATAAAAAAAATTATAACTAATCAAAACAGCTTATATTAAGTTTATTTGAATAAGATTATTTCTATTTCATTTTTTTTAATTCTAGTCGAAATAATCTCGACTGATATTCTTCACAAACGTTGTATAACTTTCAGATTTTAAATGAATATAAACTAATAAAAAAAAATATGACAAATATAATCACATGTTTACATCTTCCGAAGGTCGCGGGTTCGATTCCTCACACGATCCCAACATGTTTGTATCGGTCTGGGTGTTGTCTATAGGTATATATTTACAAAAAAAAGTATCTATGTATTTATATCTGTAGTCTAGTACCCATAACACAAACTCTGCTTAGCGTGGGACTAGATGGCGCTGTGTGAGTTATCCAGGGAGATTATTATCTAAATACATATAACTCAAAGGTGACTGACTAACATAGTGATCTATCAACGCACAGCCCAAACCACTAGATGGATCGGGCTGAAATTTGGCATGCAGGTAGATGTTATGACGTAGGCATCCGCTAAGAAAGGATTAAGATTAATTCTTCCCCCAAGGATAAAATAATGAAAGTTTGTATGAAACTTTGTCAATTTTAAACCGATCGGGCTGATGAAATCTAGTAAGTATAAATTATAGATTTTGTAGGCCCTAATTTTTTATACACGCTTAATAATGAGCAAAACTACACCTAATTAGGTGTAGTTTATTATGTGAGCGTGAGCGTTTATTTAGTTGGACGTCTTCCGGGCTGCGATGATGATGATGATGATAGTCTGATATCCACTTTGTTATATAACTAGTTTTTATTAATTTAAAGAAAGAAAGAAAGAAAAATATTTTATTGAGTGCAATGTAAAAAATACAATATAAACAACAAACGAAAAATAAGAGCAAATAAAATGTACATATAATTAAACTTAATTTACCATAATTAATTAAATTTTAAATTTAATTAATTAATTAATTAATAATAATACTTACTACTGCGCGAACGAAGCCGCGGGCAAAAACTAGTTATAAAATAAAGTGGATATCAGACTATCATCACCATCATCATCATCATCATCATCATCGCAGCCCGGAAGACGTCCACTGCTGGACATAGGCCTTCAAAGATCTCCACGACGATCGGTCATGCGCTGCTCGCATCCTTCAGACTGTACGTTTTATTTAATTAGATGATAATGGTTCCCTGTTCAGGTGAATAATATAGTTAGTTGGAGTAATAAACTTAACGGTTAAGTGCCTAAACTCTGCCGTGTTCACGTTAAATTAATTAAACAATTAGTAATTACGTTACTCGGGGTCCTATATCACGTTGCCTGAACATGTCTGCGAGCCCTTCAGTCCCTACTCACTGTCACTTTGTTTTACATTTTTTAAAACTTCTTTACATTGTCATTATATAGTATAAAACAAAGTCGCTGTCGCTGTCTGTCGCTATGTACGCTTAAATCTTTAAAACTACGCAACGGATTTTGAAGCGATAGTTTTTAATAGATAGAGTGATTCAAGAGGAAGGTTTGTATATATAATACATGTAGCCCCGTGCGAAGCCGGGGTGAGCAGCTAGTCATTACATAGTATAAAACAAAGACGCTGTCGCTGTCTGTCCGTTCCTATGTATGCAACGGATTTTGAACTGTTTTTTTTTTAAAGTAAGTGATCTAGGCATACGCTAAGAAAAGATTTTGATTAATTCTACCCCCAAAGGTATAAAATAGGGGATGAAAGTTTATATGAAACTTTGTCAATTTTAAACCGATCGGGCTGAGACTTTGCATGCATAAAGCTACTATGACGTAGGCATCCCCTAAGAAAGGATTTTGATAAATTCCACCCCTAAGGGGATAAATTAACGCGAGCGAAGCCGGCAAAAGCTAGTATCCTATATGAATAGACGATTTTTTAATTTGAATTTGAATTTGACACTCCAATTTTATTTATATGTATAGATAAGATGAATACATACACACATACCATTTTACAGTGGAAATATGTGCCTTTCTCTATAAAAATGGAAATGAATGCTCCACTGATTGTCATCGCAGATATTAAGGTGAATGGTGTCACGTACATACGTACGTATTTATATATATACATTTGACGACTTCGGAGGTCTACAGGATTAACACACCGCCTTCCGATGGTCGCGGGTTCGATTATTATATATAGACACGCAGGTATCTTTGTTTTCATGAGTGTAATTTTTTGTATCTGTCTGGATGTTTTCTATGTACATCTTATATATAAAATTCTTGTGTCACAATGTTAGTTACTATTCAGTAGATCTGAGAATCGACTACTATCTATTTTTCATACCCGTAAGTGATAAGGCTTGTCCACCCCTAATATTATTTTTTTATTTTTTGGGCAAAATTTTTTATTTATATAATTTTATTATGTGTCATTAAGAAATACATACAACCCTATATTTTCACCATTCTATCACCAACTCCTATTTTTTTACAGCGTTATTAATTTATATTGCAAAACAACGTTTGCCAGGACACTAGTTATATATATAAACTAGCTGTCCCGGCAAACGTTGTTTTTCGTGTAAAAAAGTAAATAATAATGTCGATGACGTAATCATGTTGGCATCTCAGACCTACTCAATACGCTCACAAAATTTCAAGAATCAAGGAGTAAACGAAAACTGTGACACGAGAATTTTATATATAATATATATATATATATTTTTTTTGTAAATATATACAAATATTTACAAAAAAAAACTACGTATTTACATCAGTTGTGTAGTACCTACCTATAACACAAGATCTGCTTAGTTTGGGATTAGATGATGTTGTGTAAATTGTTCTGAGATATTATTATTATTATAAATATTCTACCATATATTGGCAATTTTTTTATATATGTGTCAGTGGTCGCATATTGGTCGAAATTCGACCATAATAAAAAGTACAAATATATTTTGAACCAGCAATAACAAATACATATATGTTCACAACAAACACAAGGGCATATATGCGTATGTGTGCTAAATACATGTATATATATATATATATATGGGTAATTTTTTTTTTGTTGTCTTAATGTATTTTTCTGCATTCCTTTATATAAAATACTAGCTGTGCCCGCACTTTGTTCACAGCGCACGCAACGGAAGCTGGAAGCTCTCAAATGCCAATAATTTCCCCTGTTTTTGCATCATTTTTCACTGATGCTTCGCTTCTATTGGTCGAAGCGTAATGTTATATACCTTAAAGCCTTCCTCGACAAATTGGCTATCCAACACAAAAGAATTTTTCAATTCGAACCAGTAGTTCCTGAGATTAGCGCGTTCAAACAAACAAATAAACAATCTCTTCAGCTTTATAACATGTAATATAAGTTTAAGTTTAATTAGTGCGAAATTTTATACTCCACTTTTAACTTACCATACATAACTTTTTGCTTCGCCTTTTAATATATAGAAAATCCTTTACTTAAATAAACTTAATTTAAGCACTTTTGAATAGTCATAACAATTTTTTAATCTACCGCTCATTCGGAAAGCTGTCTCATCACAAGAAGAACGAGCAAGAAACTTGTACATTATCTTATAGATATGTTTTAACAAAAACCAATAGTTTTTGTTAGCACTTATTCTAAGTATCACGTATAAAGAGAGGTCAGAGACATGCAGCCTTAAGACATAATGCGAACTGCGTTCTCATGCAACAAAATGAACTGGCATACCGGCACGCACGCGACCCGGCCGTCCATTGTACCAGTGCGGTGTTACCATCGCACTAACATTTATTTCACCGCAATTGGAATTTAAAGACACGCGGCACGCATATAGTAACCCTGCATATAAAGTCAAGTAGTTGTTTGAGATTAACGAGTCTTTTAAACTAAGAATTTGAGGTTTAAAATAAAGTTATTGATGGTAACACGTTAAACTAGTTAAACGGAACTGTCACTGAAAAAGATAGATAATTATTTAAATTATTAACCGGGTCTTAACACGAATAATTTTATGGCAAATAAAGGTATTTACCTCTCTCGACGTTTCGACTAGTGTAACGAACTCCTTGATAGGTTTTTGTACTATTTTTAAAATTTATAATAATATTGTTTGACATATTCCTTTTGTTACTTTCTATTATATATCGCTGTCATACTAGTCGCATTTTATTTAATCTCCGTATTTTCCTCATTAAAACCCTCAGCACCTCTCACTCATCAGACACATTTGATACCTCCGCTTCATTTTGGTCCTTCTACCTATTATATTTACAGCGCACCTATTTTTCATAGTTCATTTTTCGTAGTTATAGGTATCATTATTAATTTTCATTGTATTTTCTAATTACATATTTATTCTCATTCTCATGATCACCCGCAGTAAAAGTAGAGTCATGTCATCTGTACCCGCACAAAGTTGTACCATCTCACAAGTCAACCCACAGACTACCAATAGTAGTCGGGATGGCAGTAAAACTCGTAGTATACGATCGACTCAAACCGGGTCGAGCCACTCATCTGCCACCGTTAGGGCCCAAAAGGCCGCTGCAGAGGCAATGGCCTTACGTCGTCGTCTAGAGCGTGAGTTGGATTTTGCTGCACGGGAACAGAAGCGTGAAGAACAACGTGAGCGTGAAGAACAACAGCGTAAGCGTGAACGACAACTGTCGACTCTACAGGAAGAGGTTGAAAATAGTGAACTACGAGCCGAGTTAGCAGCTATTGAAGCCTACGACAGCTATCACGGAAGTCTTGCAAGTCATCACAATTGAACCAGGGTGGTAAATGATACAGAGAGGTGGGTGGAAAATACTAAGTTTATTAAAAACCAAGAAGATATAGGTAATAGGGTCATTTCCGCAATTGAATGTGAACAACAAGGTTTTGTTCCATTTGCCGGTTGTCCGGTACTACCACCGACAACCACACGGCCAACTGCATCCCCTGTTGTACTTTCTATGCGACAACATAATAATATAATTAGTGTGCCCGAGGCGGTGGACATGACGCCCCCGCTCGTTAATACGGACACAAATATTTTTAAAATTGTAGCGGACACCGCTGCAGCAGCGAAAGCTCTTGCGTCCAGCCGAGGGTCCAATCCCGACCTATTTCCATTTTCAGGGAACCCACTTCAGTGGCTACATTTTAAACGCATCTACGAGCTCACTAAAAATAATTTCTCTACTTTAGGCAATCTATCCAGACTTCAGAGTGTACTGAGAGGGCCCGCGCATGACGCTGTCGCGGCATTACTGATGGCAACGGATAACCCGGACGAAGTCATACGCGCTCTTGAAGAAAACTTCGCGCGTCCCGAGTTGATCGTGTTCAGGGAAGTGTCTCAATTAAAAAATCTTCCACGTCTGGGCAATGATCTCAAAGAACTCGCTACTCTCGCCAATAGGGTACGGAACTCCATAGCCACAATTAAATTATTAAAGCAGTCGGAATATTTGTACTCTCCGGAGCTCTTTTACGCAGTATTAGGGAAATTGAACCCTACAATTAAAATTAGGTGGACAGATTTTGCCACACAAAATACCACAACACGTCCAAAATTAGAGTTGTTGTCTGAATTTTTAAGGCGTGAACTAGATCAACATATACGTTTTGGGCTGTCGCCTGAGTCTAGTTCAATGCAACCTTTTTTTAGTGAGAAACAATCATTTCGGCGTGAAAATATTAACACAATGACACATACTACTAACAGTGACAGATGTGACAACAGGAAAATATTATGTTCATTTTGTAAAAAAGATCATAATATTAAATCATGTTCAGAATTCAAAATTTTATCTGTAGATGAAAGATGGCAATGGCTACGACAAGTGAAAGTTTGTTATCGGTGTTTACGAACTAGTTCACATCAGTGGAAAACATGTAAAGTAAAGCCATGCAATATCGACGGGTGTCGCATTCGTCATCATCCTTTACTTCATCGACATTCATCTAGTTCAAATAAGGCCAGTGTTTCACAAACTACAGATATTAATGTCACGGATGTGTGTAGTGTAGGAAATATATATCAGTCAATTCCCAAAGTTTCAAAGTCATCTGAAGACAATCTTTTTGTGTCTACTACTCATACCGGAACACAACAACCTACAGCTAGTCGTCCGCGGGCATTTTTAAAGGTGATACCTATCACAGTCTCGGGACCTAGAGGGAGTTGTGATGTCTTCGCACTTCTCGATGACGGAAGTACAGCCACTTTAATCGACAGTAGTGTAGCAACGCGCATAGGCGCGACAGGACCGCAACACGCGATTACTGTGAATGGTATTGGTGGTCTTCAACGACATGTTAGGATATCATATGTCGATTTTTATATTAAGGGTAGACACACACAAGACACATTTTTAGTAAAAAATGCTAAAGCCATGGACTCATTATCTTTACGTTCTCAAACAATTAATCGTGAAGATATTGAATCGTTCTCACACTTAAACGGTTTAGTTGATGAGCTAACACATGAGGATGCCACTCCAACAGTCTTAATTGGAGCTGGGGATTGGCATTTATCAATCAATCGTGGCATTCGCATCGGTAACAAGAACGAACCCGTGGCCTGCTTAACAGCACTAGGCTGGACATTATATGGAAATTCTTCAAATAAAATTGAAGTAGATTTTGTTAATTACGGAATGTTTATGGAACCATCTAACGTTGGTAATTTTGAATCTTTTTCGTATTATTCTCCAGAAACCTGGCCAGTGGAGCCAGCTAATGTCGCACCAGTTCGTGGGGAGCGGAAATGTCAACCACATGAATTGGTGGGATTTACTTCTTTTAGCATAGGTTTAACTACTCCAGTCACTACTAATTTTAATTATATTAACGACTGGATCCGTCGGGTTCATCAATATGCAGCTATGTTTAGAAACATTTTGAATAATATTCGAAATTCTAAATTATCTGGCGATTTCAGATTTCTGTCTCGCCATCGCTCAACGTCCACTAGTCTATCACCGTTAGGGGGTGCTCTACATAAAACTGAGGAACGACACATCTTGCTGCATACACAACTCGACAGTTTTGGAGAAGAATACAGATTGATTCTCAATTATAAACGACCTCATGATGATCGCTTGATTAAACTATTACCAAACATCAGAGATGACAAACTGCTGTATTTGTCTGGCATCTATAATCCAGTCGCCAAGTTCCTAATATTGGTCGACGACCACCACTTAGTCGGACATCAAGCAGGATTCGCAGAACTCGACATTTACAGGAGTGTACCATTTGGGCTCAATCACCGTCACGCCAACAAAGCACTATTTAAACCTTATCTACATGTCTGTCAGGCCGACCTATTTATTTATCGAAGATAGTACTCAGCCGGTCTGCCAATTTCACGACAATGAGTTCCAGACGATTTATCGCCAGAAAAAGAGTTCCAACTACCATGTTCTCTGATAATGTTACTGCCTTCGTTGGAGCCTGTCACATTCTCAAGGAATTACTCATATCATATGTAAAAGATTTGTAACCACAAAAGGCATCACCTGGAAGGCTGAGACCATCGTACATCCACGCCTTTGTCTCAACCAATCAAATTAACACTATCGCATGTTCTCATTGGTACATCATTATACAAAGTTTCAGTACTCAAAAGAACTGGATTTAATTGAGAATTCAGATTAAATGCAATCTGTACAACTGTTTGATGACTTCTGAAACCGGTGGATATATGAAGCGCTTCCTTCCCACAATGCAACAAGAACTACATGGACGCATGGGCAGGATTTACAAATTAGGGATTTAGACATAGGTGTGATAAGGGTAGTGGACGTTGCCACATCAGGAGGCACGCTACGGCGACCGCTTAAAAAACTAGTGAAGTGACCACTTAAGGTCTCCGGACCTTGGCCTGCTTACTAGTTGGTGCAGTTCTGCACGAGGGGTAGGATGTAGCGAACTCCTTGATAGGTTTTTATACTATTTTTAAAATTTATAATAATATTGTTTGACATATTCCTTTTGTTACTTTCTATTATATATCGCTGTCATACTAGTCGCATTTTATTTAATCTCCGTATTTTCCTCATTAAAACCCTCAGCACCTCTCACTCATCAGACACATTTGATACCTCCGCTTCGACTAGGTTGCACTAGCCGTGGTCACGAGCTGAGCCGAGAGTTCTTGCCAGTTCTTCTCAATTGGATCTATATACCGAACTGGACGGTAAGGAAAAAAAATAAATTAATAAAAATTAATAATGTAAAAACTTGACGTTCATAAGCGGCTAAAATGTCTTACATGAATAAATGATTTTTTTAATTTTGAATTTTTGAATAATGAATATTAAAAAGTCAGAAATTACTCGCTAATTCTCATCCATAGTTAACTCAGTTATAGAACCTGCAAAAGGACATATATTAGTTCAATTTTGGTGACCTCTCTAAAACAATTTCAATTATAGCACCAACATGCAACTGAAATTCATTAAATGAATCGAAACGCCTCAATTATTCTGTGTGCATATTATACATTGGACAACCGGATTGTATGAATGTATGTATGTATTAATTGTTAGTGTGGTCACGTCGATTGCCCCAATTAATAATTTGGTTGTAGCACTAAATTGGAGTATATGATGTTTTGATGGTATCTATTTATATTTGCAGCGCTTAATTTAATTTAGGAATGCAGTTGCTTGTGTTACTAATTTTAAATAGATTGAAATCTAGATGAGTGGTGTTTCATGTGAACAAATTCAAAATATCTTTATTCATGTAGGTCTATTACCGACTCTTATGATATGTCAAATCTACCGTCAGTTCGGAATGATTTCGAGATGAGAGGAACTGACAAGAAACTCAGCTCGTATTTTTTTAAAATAAATTTTGTACATATTTACAGTAATACAGATTCATTTAAATTCAAATTTGGGAGAATAGCGTGACCACCAGCATATGCTATATAAAAAAAAATCAAAAAATCTAGTCAGTGTTCGCAACCTGAACAGACCAGTCCCCACAAACAGCACCCATTCACGAGTATGACGGATGAGCCAGCCATCATTGCACTCAACCATTTTAGAGGGAGCACATCGACCCGGCCCACCACGCCGCCACAAGTTTAAACTTTATAGCGAGCACGACATTTATATTATTTACAACATAAACTGTACCAATCACAGTTTTCACCCATTACAATATTTAAATTACAATATGTCATTACTAAATTTAGAATAAGTTTCTTTAGTATTTATTACATTATGTATGTCAATGGGAAAGTTATATACCTCATAAAATGAGAGACCTGAATAGACCAGTCCCCACAAGCAGCACCCATTCACGAGTATGACGGATGAGCCAGCCATTATTGCACTCAACTCACTAATAGTTTCTAAAAAAGTTCATTATTGGTTAATACTGAATCATATGACAAAAGGCGCCCTCCGTAGCTGGATAAGATCTACGCCAGTGTAGCTTCTGCGTAGCATCTCGTAGCATCGTAGCAGAGCACATTACAGAATCAATTTATCTAACTTTATGCCAAATTCTTTACGGTAATAAAACTTATAACTTATTTCTCACTGTCTACAGTGAGAAGTAAGTTATAAGTTTTATTATCTATATATATAATTTCCCATTAATTGTAGTTTAAATATACGCCGGTATTGTAGACTCTTAAAGTATATCTTGTACTTTAAGAGTATAAGATAATCATGTTAGGTCAGTCTAGGCTACTATTCATTTTTCTTGTGATAACATTTTAACCATAGTTATTTTTAAACTTCCACTTTTAGTACACAATATT